AAAAAATCCTATCAAACTGTGATACCCAGCTCAGACGGCATGCTAAATGCAAGTACTGATTCAGTACATGAACATACGCTACATACGCACGCGCACGACACACGTGCATACAAACAGGACACATACGCGCTCTTTTTTTTGTCTCTTTACACTCAATAACACATTTTATATAAACGCACCTAAGCTGAGGTTTTTTTTAATGGATTTCTTTTGCTTCTTTTTTTAAATCCTCCTCTTTCTCGAGCATATTCACGTGCACACATTCACACACATATAAACACACTGAATTAGAGCAACATGCGGCCGACAGTTAACACTGCAGGACTGAGCCTGTGACCCACTGTACAGACTCTCCTCCTTTTTTGTTTACTTTCTTTCTTTTGCCATTTACCTGAAACAGCATCATTACAATGTTTCATTAATGTGGAGAACACGACTGAAATCAAAAACAAAAAAAAAGAAGCAGCCTATAGCAGCAGTGTCATGAAAGTCATGTGTACAAAAAAAATGATATATATGAGATTGACAGCACAATGTAACGAATGTAATGAACAACGTGAGAGTCTAGGGAGAACGCAAAACTGCAAACAAATGTTTTTAAATTGCAGTATGTATAAAAATATATTTACTGTGTTGTCTATTTCCCCATTTTTGACGAGGAGACAGGCAGAAAATAACAGATCCTTCATGTCCTTCGCAGGGAAAATGGTTTCTGAGCGATAACTACAAGCTCGCAAGTAATAAAAATGGAATAAACTTCAGACACAATACTATGATTAACGTCTTTTTTCCCTTCCCCAGTAGCTGCACTCTGGGAAAAAAAAAAAAAAAAGCATACGAAGACAACTTCCACCCTTGAAATATTTGGTCTTTTGGAGGAGCGTAGCTGTGTTAGACAAGTGCGCTTGTGTCCGGAAGATTGCCTTGAAGAGAGGGGGAAAGAACAATATCACAACAGAGCCTTGTAGCTCTGTGTAAAGCTGTTGCTCTGCTTCTTCCCCTACATATGCAGCTGTGCAAGAAGCATGTAGCAAGACATTGGTGAAGGACAGCATTTGTGATCAAGTGAAGCTTCTCTTGCATTTGTGTCTGATAAGAGAACAAAAATGTAGAAGGACTCTGCACTCCTTTTCTTTTCTTCTTCTTTTTTTTTTAGCAGACTTGTACACGGACTTGCTGCTTTCTTCTTCATCCCCTGAATTCAAGTACATAAAGTTCCTTTAGGGCCCATCCAGTCAGATTTGTTGGATTTCTCCTGCACAGCAGACAGTGTCCTTCTTGCATGTTTCTTTGCCTTTCTCATCACTCTGTTACAAACAAATCCTTGCGTCGTCCCTCAGCTCATCCTGCAGGCCGTGCTGATGCAGGGACTTATTCGTACTCCAGGAACTGTTTGTGGTAAAACAGAAGGTACCTGAGGAGATGAAAGCACCACGAGGTCAGTCAGCAGCAGAAACACAAAAGCAAAAATGTGTCTCAAGCTCTTTGACGTTCTCACCCTTCACTATCCAGGACATCCTTGATGCTAGCCTTGGTGATGATTGCATCGTCACATTTGAACCACTGGTCCTTGTGCTGTCGGATGAAAGTGGTGTAATGACCGCTCTCTAGTGTCCCCTGGTGGTTCACCACTGCAAACAAGCTGTACCTGCGACAGGAAGAGAGCAGAACAAGCTGCA